AAAAAAAAAAACAGAAAACAAAAAAAAAAAGAAAAAAAAGAAACAAAAGAAACGGGAAAGAGGAAAAAGGTAGATGATGATGAACGGTATTTGTTCTGACTTTTTTTGGGGTAGCTATTATTGATAAATAAAAAATTGAAACAAAAAGAAATAATAAAAAAAAAAAACAGAAACGGGAAAAGGACAACGATGGTTTTTTTTTGAAGTTTTTTATTATTTTATTTCTTGTTTTTTTTCTTGTTTTATGTTCTTGGTAATTATTATTATTTTCATAAAAATTGAAATTCCCCAATATTAAAGTATGTGATAACCATATTTATATGGAAGTTGTGGGGTGCCTAATACTTTTCCCATACTTAACCGACCCTCTGAACCTAGTCAATTTCTACGAAGATCTTGGTGATCTATCCCACCTCATTTGGATGGATAGATGGCGAATCCATCCATTTTGGCAAGTCAACAATCCCAATCCACAAGTCCACATAATATAGACCTATTAAGATATTTAAATTTTGCAATTAAATTGAAAAAGCTCACTGCATTTTTTATGGCACCAGGCACAGAAGCAAGTAGGACAAGGAGAACATTGATGATGAAGAAAAATTCTCCGATGATGAGATTTATTAAATGTCATTCAGCAATGAAATCTTAAAATGCTTTGTGCTAAAAGTTTTACCATAGGGGAAAGGAAAACCAAAACAACAGATAAATGCTATCACAGACACTATCATCCTTAATATGGAAGAAAAAGGACCGATTAAATTTCCAGGGAAAATCCACAATGAAATAAATATAATTAACTGTGACTTATTGGTCTGTTTATTCTTTTCATGAGGTAAGACTAACACCCCACCCATCAATGAAATAAATATAATTAACCGTGACTTATTGATTATCAGTCCAATTATGAAATAATGAAACATAAGTAGCCATAAAATAATACCATACAGACAGAACATCGTAATTCCCACAACTTTTGACCTTAAAATATAATGTGCCTCTGCAAACGCCAGACAAAATCTTGCCCACATCTTAGATGGCAAATGCTAAAAGAATCTGATAGTGTCAGGTAAAGCACTGTCCAGGAGAAAAGGGATGACAATTGCAAACTAAAGATTTGGCAAAAACAGAACAAAAAACAATAAGAGCCAAATATCATACAGCAACAAGCATTGTAAATCACATTTACTGAGAATAACATCAAAGATATAAGTCCATAAGTTAAATATTGAAGTCACAAGGAGAATCAACAGACCAAATCATAAGCTTGAACAGCCAAGGCAACTTTTTCATCTGCAATCCTGATGCTATGCTTTTGCTCATCTAGTGCTTCATCTGAGAATCTAATAAGTGAAGTATCTGGTGTAATATTTCCAGCCCTGACACCATTCTTGATATCCTCTATTTCTTGTTCACAACGTTGTTCATTTTGTCTCACAATTTCTGTTCATATACAAAACACAAAAATGTGGTTGAGGCCACAAGTGAAAACAGGATAGTAGAAACAGGAAGCAAAGCCAAAATAGAAAA